TATATATATATATATATATATATATATACGCCGTTCCTCGGTTGTATCCTACCTTCCCCCGCAACTCTGCTAGCCTCAACATGCTTACTTTGATTTGGGAACATGAATAAGTTGACTGTTACTTAATTTCGTACTTGCACGTTCCAGTTATGTGGTTGCCGCTGCTGTGAGTATTTAATGAGTCAGGCGGCTGTTTTTTTGTATGATTAAAAGAAGCATATTCGGGGTTGATGTAACAGAGTAGTTGTATGGGTCAATGTGTGCATGAACGGATCGAATAGACGAGAGGGACAAAACCATCTGAAAGTCAGAGTGCTAAATGGTTTCAATAAAAATTTCCTGCGAAAACTGGTCACAAACAATTAGTCAAATGGACCACATTGGACCACATTTCCCCAATCGGCCTTCCAAGGAATTAGTAAGATATAATGGGTAATCTGTGGAAAATTCTTTCATACTTTTACTTGAGAAGCGCACCGGGAGATAAGTGAGAGTCTGTCCACATTTGATTATCACATTCTCTCGGTGGATTGGCCATTAAAGGTTGGTTGATGGAATCAACAAATGAGCGATAACTAAACTGAAAACACTAGGGCAAATGTAGAATAAAACCATGTTGCATTTCCTGTTTTATCAAAAAACGCTTTCATAAAATTTGATGGAAAAACTACTTGATATGTAAAGGCGAGCAGAAGAGCGCACAGTTGAGTGAGACAAGTGAAGGACTGAGCTAACGGATTAGTGAAGTGGCTTTCCGTGTCAATGGGACATCCCAACTAACCAGGGTTTTAGAAAAAATGAAGTATAATAACCGCATCAGCGGTCATCGTAACCGATCAACGTGTTGCAGTTACAGTTACACAGTTGGAATTAAAAAGAATACCGAACAGTGACAAAATTGTCCTCGGATAATCACTCACGCATTATCGCTACGCTACTACTACCACTACCACTACTACTACTACTATCAATACTGTCTGTTACCCGACAGTTGAATTGTTCAGACATAAAAATGGATGCTGTTACAGATTTGGAAAACATGAAGGTCAAATATTCAGATTTGTAAATCCATACTAGGGAAACCAGCATAGTACAAGAAAACAGAACTTGAGCTACAAGCGAAAGCAGAGCACCAATCGTGGCTCAACTATTCTGGTCCAAAGTTGGTAACCAAGTATGAACGCCAAAACCTGAATTATGTTCAATATTTTAGTTTTGGGAAATAGTGCAACAGGTCATTTTTCAAACTAATATTCAATCTAATCTGACTGTGACGTTTAGATTGTGTTTTAAGCCCTGTCACTATCACTGCTTCGGAAAATCGCTTGGCTGCTTATCTGCTCGCGGATGTATAAGGCTAACAACAATCAGTATTTAAAGTGGCTGTTTTTGTTGTTATTTTTCTGAATTTCGTTGCGAACTCACGTGAGCACTAATCTGTCTTTCAAAATGATTCAGAGTGGACCATGTGCGTGTGCGTGTGTATGTGTATGTATGTATGTATGTATGTATGTATGTATGTATGTATGTATGTATGTATGTATGTGTATGTATGTATGTATGTATGTATGTATGTATGTATGTATGTATGTATGTATGTATGTATGCATGTATGTATGTATGTGTAATGATTCAATTAGTAAATTTTGCCGAAAAGGTTTCAGTACATAAATATTTATTGCTAAGTGAAATTTCCTCATTCTGTCATCCTTAGACAGACGGATAAATTGCAGAGAAACGGACGATACTGACAGGATGTACATATTGTGTAATAATCCAAATTTGAAATTGTTCAGTTTATCCCACCACTGGGCTATTTTCGGGTGATGTAATAACTTACACGACTCTCATGTTACTTATGTGTTGCCGATGAGCAAACTGCATATCGTTTACGCGAAGATATACAGAAATTTAGCCGAAACATTTCATGAACCGTTCATTTTCTCTCTGCGATAGGCCTATCGGCAGCCTTTCTCTTTCGAGAGCGTCTCTGGGCTATCGTGACGAATAGTTTTTGCTGGCTTTTCCATCGCGTGCGCAACCATATTACGGCTGAAAACCAGGCTATGCACAGAATTGGGATGTTCCAGATTGTGGACAGATGAGGGCCAAATGCATCGATCCGGATGAAAGCCAGCCCCACCCTTGAGTAGGAACAAAACATTGAGGAAAAAAGACAGTCGGTGGTAGATGCAAGAACAGCGAATAACGGCATATAATCCTACGCTTTACGTACTTGTATGTTGCGTTGTCGGATTCGTGCACAGACTTGCAAACTACTCTCTGATGCTCTAAGCTGAGCTAATGCAAATCTCCTTTCCACTCCATCTCGCATGTGTGCATCGATTAATGAGCAGTTCTACATAAATATCGATCGGTTATTGAACAGGCAACTGTTTTGTTGAACTATACCGCGGAGAGCCGCCTCTCCTAGAGTTAGCACATTCGGTTGCCTTCGCTTCTGTCACGGGGTATGCAATGCGCTGACAAATCTGGTAGGAATCAGCACGTGTGGATTGTCTCAGCCAGACAACCATGCTTATCTGGCTTATCAGTGGTGTGGTTAGGCGAGGGTGTGCTGATTAAAAATGGATGAATTTCGTGCATCAACCAGCCAGCCAGCCAGCTAGCCAGCTAAGCCTGCGTGCGTGCTCGCGCGCGCGGGTGAACCAAGTTCATCAATCCTCGTAGCTCAATCGGGTGACAGACTGTGTGGGACATATGGAGACGACAGAGAGAGAGAGAGTACAGTAAAGGCGAGTGCGCTCCCTGTGATCAACTGTTAAGCATTCCTACACGGTCACCTGATCATCTCAGTTAGCGTAACTTACACAGTGATCACATCAATTCCACTGTAAAGCAGAATGCTAAATTTTATGAAGTTTAAGATACTAAATATATGTAAATATCTGTGAAGTGACTGTTGTACAACTCCTCTAATTAGTACTCAAAGAAAGTATCGGATATCAAATTATTTATAGATTTCTACATATCGGAACAGTCAAAGAAACTTAGATGGCAAATGTTTGGACTGGCCCATTCTGTTTTTCACAGGCCCCCGGGGGAAAGGTTTTGAAGTCCCAAATCACAGGTTCACGGTTCGAGTCCTGACAGAAACACGCAAAAAGTAGGCATTGCTAGCGAGTCACAAACAGGACGAAACAGCTGTCCCGGTGCTCTTTGTCGGTTATC